CTTAAAAATGAATAACACAAGTTCTTGGGTTGCCTCCCATGCAATGTTTCTTTAAGGTCCTTAGCATGACCATTTCTTATCTAATTATGTTCTTCCTTCAGATTTTTATAAGTATATCTAACTGGTTTGAAATCAAACTTGATCTTGTGCGTGTAGTTAGTCGAATTTCTCCCTTTTATATCATATTTGTTCCATCCATGTGCTCCCCTATTATTTCTCAACACTCTTCCAGGTCTTTTTTTTTCAAACTAGGTAAAGGACTAAAAGTTCGATCAGGTGGTATCAGTTGTTTTCTCAAGAGAACAAGATTTTACTGTGGAAGATTCTCTTTCATTTCAACGATTTTAGAGTTTTTAGCTTCTGTTGACACTAAGACACTTGGTTCGTAAATACTAAATGTCTCACTTTTTGATATGACTTGGACATATTCCTTGACCTCTTTATCTTGTCCTTCCTCAACCGTGCCAATAGAATTCACCATAATATATTTAATAGGTAACAAATGCGACTCACTTGGAGACACTTCTTCAATTACCTCTTAAACCACACCAACACAATAACATTGAGGGTTTTCATTATGATGGCGCATCTCCTCAAACACATTAAATACAACATGTTCCTAACTGAATCTCATGATCAACTCTCCCATTTCCACATTAATTAAAGCTTCATCATTGCTAAGAAAGCTCTACCCTTTTAATATTGGTTTTTAAGAATGTCTTGTCATATTATATATCACAAAATCAATAGAAACAATAATTCATTTAATCTTGTCAGAACATCTTCCATAACACCATAAGGATAAGTGATAGATCTATCAGCTAAAGTGAGGGTCATCTGAGTTGGTTTTGGCTCTCCATAATTTAGCTTCTTCATCATCGATAGAGGCATCAAGTTGATACTTTCCCCTAAGTCAAAAAGTGAATGATCAATCTTCTGTGTACCAATGGAGTATAAAATAGTAAATTTACCTAGATTAGTCAATGACATCTTGTGTTAGATGATGGCACACCAATCTTCAGCTAAAGCAATATTTTCATCATGCATTGACTTGTGCTTCCCAGTTAGTAGACCTTTCGTGAATTTAGTATAAACCAACATTTTATCTAAAGCTTTACACCAAAAGGAACCTTAACTTGATGCTTGATGACATCCCCATTAGAGTCCTTGAACTGCCCATCTATCTTCCTTTTCTTTCTTTGGGTTTTTCTTTAGGATATGATAAGGTAGTTTGACATAATAAGGGAGTCTGGGGTTTGGTTTATTGAGAGTTTGCTTGTTGGTTCTCCTCAAAGGTGAGTTTCTATCAATTAGCTCGCCAAATGTGTATCCTCTCCATGTGTCTTTACTTGTTTTTTCAATTTGTTTCTCCCTCTATTTTTCTCTCACTCCTAGGATGTCTTACTGTGGAAATTACCATGTCTCTCAACTCATTGGAATGTCAACTCTCATTCTTCGGGTTATCTACCGTATTCCCAATGAATCCCCCAATTGAGCTAGGTTGTGCTGCTATTTGTCTAGATAATTGACCAATTTGCATTTCTAAATTTTTGATGGAAGCTTCGATGTTCTTACTCATGGTGTTCTGACTCTTGGACATTTCTTCTTGGGTCTTAAACATTGCTTCCTGATTTCTTCCTACTTGTTCAAAATTTGCTTGAGTGATTTTCATAAAATTGGCCAAGGCTTCTTCAAGTGGTGATGGTTTCATTTGTTGTGGTGCTTGAGGAACTTGAAGGGATTGAACAACTCCTTGGTTGTTACTTCACTTGACGTTCGAATGATCATTCCAACCTACATTATAAGTTTAAAAATAAGATTTACCTCTTTGAAAAATTTCAGTATATTGCACTTATTCTGTATACCCCTCGGGAACATAGTTGCCATTAGCAAACCCTCGCCTACAAAATCACATCGTAGTCTCTGAACCTAACTAACATTGGCCTGAACAATAACACCTGCAACTAATTGTCTTAAAACAACCTCAAGTTGGGCTAATATTACTATATTCGAATCTACTTCAAGTACACCCCTTTGATTTCAATCCTCTATCACTTGTTGAGCGATATTTATTCTTGCACATTCTTTCAATCAACTCTTTCACCTCATCTTCATTCTTAGTTTTTATGGTACCTCCAGCTAAGGGATCCAAAAGCATTCTTACTTGAGCTATTAGACCTTTAGTGAAATGTTGCATTTGTTCCATATTGCTCATGTTGTGGTTTGGACATCTTAGAAGTAACGACTTGAATCTCTTCTATGCATTAGACAATGGTTCATAATCACATTGGTCAAAATTAGAGATTTATTCTATTCTCTATATAAACTGAGCATTTGTGAAAAACCTCTCTAGAAACTTGTCCTCCAATTCTTTCCAATTCTGAATAGTACCGTTTGATATATATATTGCAACCGATCATATGATCGACCTATCTGAGAGAAACCAAATAACCGTAGTTTTACCTATTCTTTATTTACATCATTCAAATTGCTCATTAGAAAAGTCTCATAGAATTTAGCTAGAAGCTCTCAAAAAATTTGTCTCTTAAACTTGAAAGCACAAATTTTTTGATATCAAAAGTAACAGGGTTAGCAGGTAGGATATCTATCCAACATTAGTTCTTCTGCAATAATCCCCCATAATTTGTCTTAGTGGGATAACCATGTCTTCTCTTTCTTATTTCAGTTGTCTTTTTAGCTTGTTGTGCTTCTCTTCACGCCTTCCAACTTACTCATGAAGTTCTTTCAAATTTTGAATATAACGATATCAGTGTCAAATACGAACCTCGTATAAACAAACAGACAAACCTGAGTCACACTGCACCTAACAGAACTGAATAAGAGTAAATAATAAAAATAAACAATAACTAAAAAAAATAAAAAATCTAAAATAAAATGTAGCATAAAATTCTACCTTGTTGAAATTATTCAACATTTTCCGACAACAGTGGCAAAAACTTGACGACAATTAGCAAGTGAATTAATTGCGTCGAAGTAATAAAAATAAAGAATGTCTCCACATGGATTTCATTATTTTAACAAGGTTATTAGTGTGCTTTTAAAAGTAAATATGTTTGCGCAAATAAAATTGATAAAAGTAACGAGAATTGGAAAGCGATCATGTTTCGTTTTGGGAAAGCGATCATGTTTCGTTTCGAGTCCACTAATTTTCATTGTTGGTAACTGCGTCTATTTTCTCTAAGTGATTTTCTAGAATTACCATAAATTAACAGGACCGTTATACCCAATTCCTTAGTGTATAACTCACTCTTCTTTATAATTATTTATTCCTAAATCAATTACTAAGTTTAAACAATTATCCTAGATTCGGTTCACAACGTTAGAGTCATTAATCACTATAATTCTAGGTTCAATTCATATACTTGTCAACACATAAAAGACATTACGATCAAGAATAATTGAATAAAAACTAGAATATTAAATCAATAAAATATTACAAAGCCAACTATATAGTTCAACGGATCCAATCGACATTGTCTAACAAAACTTAATCCAGAGTAAATTAATTACTCATAATTATGCAAATAATTACTATAAATTTAGATGAACAATAATTAAAAATAAATGAAGAAATAAGTTTTCAATGGTTGAAAACTCCAATTCTTGATGAGCTTCAATATTCTCCTTTTCAAATTTCATACCTCTTGCAAAAGGGCATTTCTTTTCTTTTTTAACAAGGCAAAAATGTGTCAAATCACATTTTTAACAAGGAAAAATGTGATTCTATCATTTTCAAATTCTCATATTATTAATTAGAACGGAAGGGAAAATAAAAACAAATTGTTATCCTACTTAAAGAAAATATGTCATGTTTTCTAGGTCAACGTGAGTGGGAATAGGAACTTGTAAATTTCCTAGCCATCGATGACAGTAAGAGGGACAAAAAAAGGAAGCAACTTCACTCTCTCTTCTTATCTTTGACCTTTGAATGTCTTGAAAACATAAGAAATCAGAGTCAAACTCAAATCAAACTTAAACTCAAACTGGTTTTAAGCCTAAGAAATAACTTCAGTTTTTTTTTTTTTTTTTTCATATCGTTTTTAATTTTTTGTATACATCTTGTTACTAACACTGTTAATAAAATTTATTACTATTATTATTATTATTATTATTATTAATTCTATAATATCTTTAATATTTTGTTATTTGATTTCAACTATTTTTCGATTATAATAAATAATAAAAAAATATTATAGATGAATTTATACTTGATATTAAATTGAATTTTGAAAAGATGAATAAATAAAAACGTTTCTTTTTATAAATACGAATAGTAATACAAATCAAGAGAGTTGGAAATACATTGATAGATTGATAGATAATGATTATAATAGGTAACAACAAATTTATTGAATATAACTCTTTTTATAGAAATAAGATAACTTTCATTACTTTTATGTATTTTTTTCGAAAAGTAAACACGTTTACTTTTTATGAAATTAAATATATATATATATATATATATATATATATATATATATATATATATATATATATATATATATATATATATATATATATATATATATATATATATATATATATATATATATATATATATATATATATATATATATATATATATATATTTTTTTTTTTTTTCTTCTAATTTTTCTTTTATATCTATCAAAATTTAAAAAAATATCAAATCATGTACCAAAACATTTATTTAAATTTTCATCTTTATATTTTCTGTTAAGTCATTCTTAGAATAATCACAAGTTCTATGTCCTGTGCTTTTTGTCACACTTCGTTTAAAATCTATTCGCGAATTTTATCTTTTACTTTTTGACTGGTCTCTAATTTCTCAATCTTTTACGACAAACTTTAAGGTGGAGAGAGGATTACGGTAAGGAGACCCCCTCCCTCTCTCTCTCTCTCTCTCTCTCTCTCTCTCTCTCTCTCTCTCTCTCTCTATCTATCTATCTCTCTCTCTCTCTCCGTTTCTCTTTGTGATTATTGCAGAGGGGCTAACTGGTATGATGAGAATGGCGGCGGAAAAGGGAAAGTTCAATGGTTTCAATGTTGGAGAAGGATTTCAAGTGGAGCTGATTCAGTTCGTCGATGACACTTTAATCAACGGTGAAGGAAGCTGGTATAATCTTTGGAGTACACAAGTTGTGCTCAGGGGATTCGAACTAGTTTCGGGGATGAAGGTGAATTTTATCAAGAGTAGGATTATTGGAGTGAATGTTAGCCCTTATTTTCTTCTTGCAGTTGCTACCTTCTTATCTTGCAGGGTGGATAAGACATCTTTCACCTTGGAATTACCATTGGGTTTAACCCAAGAAGAATTCTTGGATGGAAACCAATTTTTGACAAGATCAAGAAGAAATTGGCTTTGTGGAAGGCTAGAATATTAACTATGGCGGGAAGGTTAATCCTTATCAACTCGATATTTTTTTCTTGCCAGCTTTTTGGTTTTTATTCTACAGGGCTCTGGTTGAGGTGTTAAAGGCAATTGATAAAATCAGAAGCAGGTTTTTGTGGGGTGGTTCAGAGGAAAAAGCAAAAATTAATTGGATTAAATGGGATACTCTTTGCTTACCGAAGGATAAAGGTGGGTATGGAAAGATGCAAAAAACACAATCCAAAAGTCTTATGATGCCGACATGAACAAGACTCACAAAAGGTAAGCTGAGGGCGATAACAAACTCTATATAATGTATCAGAATATCATCAACCTCATAAGTACAACGGCGGAGATGAGATTCTTTGTGTAGTGACCATTCAGTTCTTGGCCACATAGGCATCAAGCCTCCAACAAGTTCGTGTGCAAAAGGCAGTGAAGACGCTTACAAAAGGAAAGCGAAGGGATAAGATTTAACGCAAAAGGCGATGAAATGCCTTACAAAAGGTAAGGTAAATCCTATGCAACAAGGGACAGAAGGAGTTACAAAAGTAATCGTCGGAAGAGACAATGTCCACAGGAATGCCCCACTTTCTATAGGAACTGGCTAAACAATGGTGCAAATGATGCGAAATGTATGCAAAAATGCTGGGGATATGAAAGTCTGGAGTGAGTGATAGTTGTGCCAAGCGTAACTGGGCTTGCTGGGGAAAAGGGATATGTACGATGAAAGGTATCAATCAGAGGCGATTTTACAAAGAAGCGCCAACCGAAAGTGGGTTTACAACAAAAAGGTGCCAAATATGATTGGGCTTTGGGTTGGATGGAACAAGCATGACTTCCCGACACCATTTCTTCATGATGCAATCGAGTTTTGAAGATTCCAGGACTCCAATTTTGGTGCTAGTTTCTTCTGAGCTAGATGATTCTTGTCTCGACCAAGTCACTTTGTGGTTTCAACGGTGTTTCTGCATGTTTAGCGGGGTCACGGTCACCCTATAGTCACCCTAAGAGGAGAAGTAATCCCACACTTTCTTTCCACCACAATATTATCATCCCTAAAATTCAAAAGCAATGCTTATCACTGATAAAACAAGTTTTGCAATCACATGGTAAGAATTAGAAGAGAAAACTTTTCGATTAAAATAATCTTTATTGATGAAGACCCACAAACGGGCAGATTACAAGAGGAGACAATTCTTAAAATAGGTAATTGCTTTGATAGAAAATGGATAAAAAATAACAATGACAATGTTGAAATCGGTTTCCATCGAGTTTCAATTCTGCTATGACCCATATATCCCATCGAGTTTCAATGCCTTGCTTTTGAGTGCAATGATCGTATTGATCCTTCCCAATTAGAGTTTAATGATCAAGGAGGAAAATTCACACGTCCTCTCAGAGTGCAGTTTTTCCTTTTGAATACCTAACTTTTGCCTAGAATGCCCTTCTCGGGTTTTCAGCCTACCGGGATACCCTTTTTTTTGTTGCCTAAGTTACCTTTACGGGTTTTTAACTTAGCGGTTTATTTCTTTTGTTTTTAGTACCTAATTTTTTCCTGGACCTTTTTCTTTTTACATGGTCCACCGGGACGCCCCTTTTTTGCGTGGATTTTCTTTTTGGTCCACCGGGTCTATCTTTTAGGCATAATATTTTTTAACTGCGTCTGAATTCACAGGGGATGGAAGATCATCACCGTCCATGGTCGAGAGAATCAAGGCTCCACCAGAGAAAACCTTCTTCACCACATATGGACCCTCATAGTTCGGTGTCCATTTCCCCCTTGGATCAATGTGAGTTGGCTGAATTTTCCTCAAGACCAGGTCTCCTGCTTCAATGTGTCGCGGGCGAACTTTCTTGTTAAAGACTCTCTTCAATTGCTTCTGGTATAATTAACCATGATAGATGGCCGTCATGCGCTTCTCATCGATGAGATTAAACTGGTCAAGTCTTGCTTGTACCCATTCAACTTTATCTAGCTTGACGTCTGCTAAAATTCTCAAGGAGGGAATCTCTACTTCGACAGGCAGCACTGCTTCCATTTCATACATGAGAGAGAACGGGGTTGCCCCAATAGAAGTGCGCATTGAAGTGCGGTAGCCATGCAAGGCAAATGGTAACATCTCATGCCAGTCTTAATATGTTTTCACCATCTTTTGGACGATCTTTTTGATGTTTTTATTCGCCGTCTCAACAACTCCATTCGTTTTTGGGCGATATGGTGTCGAGTTGTGGTGCTCGATCTTGAAGCTTTCGCATAACTCTTTTATCATTTTATTGTTGGGGTTCGAACCATTATCAGTAATGATTTTATTTGGAACTCCATATCGACAAATAATCTCTTTCTTAATGAAGCAGGTCACCACTTGCTTAGTGACGTTGGCATAAGAGATGGCTTCCACCAATTTGGTGAAATAATCAATGGCCACTAAGGTGAAACGGTGTCCGTTGGATGCAGTTGGCTCGATGCTTCCGATTAAATATATGCCCCACATGGAAAAAGGCCAAGGTGAAGTCAACACATTCAAAGGAAATGGTGAAGCATGTACTTTGTCTACATAGATTTGGCATTTGTGACATGTCTGGACATGACGATAACAGTCTATTTCCATTGTCATCCAGTAGTATCCTGCCCTCAAGATCTTATTAACTATAGTGTGGCCACTGACATGTGTCCCAAAAGACCCTTCATGTACTTCATTTATGATACGTTCTGTTTCGTTTCTATCCACGCATCTGAGCATAACTGAATCATGATTCCTCTTGTATAGCACATCACCGCCGAGGAAGAATTTTGACGAACGCTTCCTAAGATATTTCTTATCAGTGATGGTGATGCCTTCTCGATATTCTTGTGTTTTTAAATATCGCTTGATATCATAGAACCAGGGATGATCCTCAACTTTAAGATCTGCGACATCAGCTGCCAGTAGGGCTGGAAATGAGTCGAGTCGAGTCAAACTTGTCTTAGCTCGATTCAACTCGATAAGAATATGTTCATCTTGAAACTCGACTCGAGTTCGACACGAACTTTATTTTAAGCTCAAACTCGACTCATTTAAAGTTTACGAACAACTCGATTCAGCTTGTTAGGTTCATCTCATTAGGTTCAGCTCATTAGGTTCATCTCATTAGGTTCATCTCGTTTGTTTCACGAACTTAAAAGTCATTTTTTAAAATCTTATTTTTTCTATTTGACATTTTAAATTAATATTATTTAAAATAAAAATACTGAATTAATATAAAATTTATCAAATTAAAATTTAACTTTGTCTTCAAAGATGTACAACATCAAAAACTACCAAATACCAATCTTCAAGAGATACATTTGAAACTCTAATTAAAAAATTACTCAATTAGAGTTTAGTTTTGTCTTACAATTTTATATAAATAATTAGAAACCTTACAACTTTTAATAAAATACTATAACAAATACTACTAAAAGTTAATACATTCTCATCATAGAATGATTACACCCTTTCAACCTTCATTAACAAATGATGCTATGTCTCCAAGAAGAATGACTTTAAATGCTATTGTGAGAGCTTTGTTGCTATAGTTACTACATAAGAGACAGCCTGCAAAATGCAAGATATTATTTTTCTAACCAATTAAATTCATATATTGCAACACTTACATAAAATTATCATGTCTTGCTATGCACGTACCAACATAATTTTCATCATCAGTATATAACAAAATACATTATGATAAACATATATATATATATATATATATATATATATATATATATATATATATATATATATATATATATATATATATATATATATATATATATATATATATATATATATATATATATATATATATATATATATATATATATATATATATATATATATATATATATATATATATATATATATATATATATATATATATATATATATATATATATATATATATATATATATTAAATTTTGAAAGGTATGCCATTTGTAAAACAAAGTAATTAGTAACATTTGCATGTTAAAAAACATTGAGCTATAGTTCATAGATCATTATCATTATTTTCAGTCTCTACTCATATGTAAAAAGAATAAATAGCCAAACAAACTTTTTTATTAGATTGAAAATAAAGTTATAGTTTTAATTATTAGAATATTAATAGTAATTCATATTTATTTAGTTGTACAATTTTTTAGCCCCTAAGTTTGTTAGAGGGTATTTTAGTATTTTATCTTATTCTAGTAACCCTAGTTTTAGCTTATAAATAGGGTGACAATCATTGTAACTTTTAATCATGTTTTTCTGCCGTCATTCTTAATAGAATATTTCTACCTTTTCATCATTTATTCTACCTTTGCACCAACAATTGGTATCTAGAGCTCCGGTTCAGATTCATTGGGAAACACGAGTGAACGTAAGGTCTTGTGTGTTTGATTTTGATTCTTAGATTCGTGTTGAATCTTGAACAAAATCTGATCAGAATTTTATTCTGTGGGTTGAGAAACACTGTGTGAGAAACATTGAGTGTATTGTGCAAGGTGAAGATGAACGGAAACGGCAACATGAACACCAAGCTTCCAGTATTTGACGGCAAAAATTGGAATCGTTGGATGATCCAAATGCGTGTACTGTTTGGTGCTCAAGATGTTTTAGATCTTGTCACTGATGGTTATGTTCCGGTAGCAGCAGATGCAACAGATGAACAGAAAAACGCGCAGAAGGAAGTAAGGAAGAAGGATCAGAAAGCATTATTCTTTATTCATCAATGTGTTGATGTAAATGTGTTTGAGAAGATTGCAGATTCAACGACAGCAAAGGCTGCGTGGGACACACTGGTTAGATGTTATGGTGGTGACGCATCAGTGAAGAAGGTGAAGCTTCAGTCCTTGAGAAAGCAATATGAGAATCTCAACATGAAGAATAATGAGAAAGTTTCTGAATACATCTCTAGAGTGATTCTGATCACTAATGAGATGAAGGCGTGTGGAGAAACTCTTTCTGAAGAAACAATCATGGAGAAGGTATTGAGATCCCTTACCT